AAGCAACCTAAATATCTGTCGGCAGACAAATGGTAAAGATGTGGTACATATATACAATGGAATACTACTCAGCCATAAAAAAGAACGAAATGGGGTCATTTGTAGAGATGTGGATGGACCTAGAGACTGTCATACGGAGTGAAGTAAGTCAGAAAGAGAAAAACAAATATAGTATGTTAACACATATTTGTGGAATCTAGAAAAATGGTACAGATGAACCAGTTTGCAAGGCAGAAAGAGAGACACAGATGTAGAAAACAAACATATGGACACCAAGGGGGGAAAGGAGGGTGGGATGAATTGTGAGATTGGGACTAACATATATACACTAATACATATAAAATAGATAACTAATGAGAACCTGCTGCATAGCGCAGGGAACTCCACTTTGCTGTACAGTAGAAACTAACACAACATTGTAAAACAACTATACCCCAATTTTAAAAAAAGGAAAAAGAAAAAAAAAAGAATATATAGATGTCTCTGTATAAGTGAATCAAGTTACTGTACACCCAAAAGAAACACAACATTGTAAATCAGCTATACTCCATTATAAAATTAAAATTTTAAAAATAAAAAGGAAAAAAATAAAAACCTAAAAAAAATAAAGAAACATATAAGGTGGTAATAGCTCTACAATCCACTTAAAGTGGTAAAAAAAAAAATTCTAAGTAGACTGTGAAAAGTTAAGTATGTATACTACAATTCTCAAAGAAACTTTTAAAAATATATACAAAAATGTATAGTAAAAAATATAATAGGGGCTTCCCTGGTGGCACAGTGGTTGAGAGTCCGCCTGCCGATGCAGGGGACACAGGTTCGTGCCCCGGTCTGGGAGGATCCCACATGCCGTGGAGCGGCTGGGCCAGTGAGCCATGGCCGCTGAGCCTGCACATCCGGAGCCTGTGCTCTGCAACGGGAGAGGCCACAACAGTGAGAGGCCTGCGTACCGCAAAAAATAATAATAATAAATAATAATAATAACAGATATATTAAAATGAAATGCTAAGGAATGTTCAAATAACCTAATAATGTAGGAAAGCAAAAACAATGGAACAAAAACAGATGGAACAAATGGAATACAAATAATAAAATGGTAGACCTAAGTCCAAACATAAATAATTGTATTAAGTGTAAACAGTCTAAATATTCCAATTAAAAAAGAAATTGTCAAAAGGTATTAAAAAAGAAAACATAACCCAACTATATGCTATCTACAAAAAACTCACTTCAAATATAATTATATAGATACATTAAAAATAAAAAGATGAAAATACATACACCAGGTAAACACTAATCCAAAGAAGGTGGAGTGGCTATATAAACATCAGACAAAATAGAGTTCAGAGCAAAGAAAATTGCTAAGGATAAAGAGGAACATTGCACAATGATAAATGGGTTAATTCACCAAGAAGACATAAATTCTAAATCTGTGTGCATCTAACAGCAGACTTTCAAAATACATGGAGCAAAAACTGATAGAACTAAAAGAAGAAATGGACAAACTCATAATTACAGTTGGCAACTTCAATTCCCTTCTCTCGGTAACTGACAGAACTAGTATACAGAAAAACAGCAAGGATATAGAAAAACTAAACAACACTTTGATCAACTGGATCAGAAGTTATTCTTATCGGTAGGAGAATGATGAATAAACTATAATAGATAATATTCACAACCAGGGCTGTCACATAATATACAACTCCAGGGGTCCTTGCACATAAACCGTGAGTTGTGTGGCACACAAACTGCTTAAGTGCACGTAGTGGTCCTGCCCACACTTTAGAATAATATGGATCTTTTAAGAAGAATGAATTAGTTTACTTGGAGTATTTTCACTATTTTTGAAGGAGAAAAATAACATGCAGGAAAGCATACACAGTGTGGTCCCATTTTTATAAAACAAACAGGAACATATGCGTATATGTATATATACATGAGAATGTTGGTAAGCGGAAGATACCTGTTGGTAAGGGGGTGGGTGGAGCGAATAATGTGGGTGGAGGAGGGGAGAATAGTAGGACAGGGACCCAAGCAGAAACGGAAAAGAAAAAGAAAACCTGCACTTTAAAACATGATCATTTTTATGCACAAATAATAAGTACCTCTAAAAATAATTTTAAAGTATTCTCAAATATAAAAAAGGAAAAATACTACTTTATTCGGTTACCTAAAATCTTTCAATGATTGATTTGCTATTATACTTAAAAAAAATACAAACTCTACCATAACCTGTGGTCCTTGTCTACCTCTCCAACCTTATGTGCTACTACCCTTCCCTCTCCATATAAGTCTCTTTCTGGACTAGAGGCCTTTGTAATTGCAGTCTCCTTTGCCTGAAATGCTTTTGCCACAGGTCTTTGTATGACTGGCTTCCTCTCAACTGTGGAAGTCACAGATGCCTACCCAATCAATAGCCATCCTCCCCTACTTCCTCACCACCAGAACCCTGATTTTATTGGGAGAGCAATATGTCCATTTAAAATACTTGATCTCCGTCCTTTCTTGTGGCTAGGAGTGATGCAATTCTGGCCAACGGAATATAAGTAGAAGTTACTGGACACAGCCTCCCGGAAAGCCTTTTAAAAGAGCTAAACCAGCGGCCTTTTCTACCTCCTCATTCCCTTTCTGCATTTTCTTGCCTTGAAAATGACTGCGAGGCTATGGCCTCTGTGGTTCCCAGGTCAACAGTCTCAGTATCACCTGGGAACTTGTTATAAATGCAAATTATCAGGCCCCACCCCAGATCCCACTGAATCAGTAACTCTGAAGGTTAGGCCCAGCAATCTGTGTTTCAACAGTCTTCAGGTGACTCTTAGGCATGCTGAAGTTTGAGAGCCGCTGAGAAAGAGGATAGAGGTCTCCTTAGAGATGGTGAAGAAGACATATGAAGATCAGCACACTTCTGACATCACAGAGCTACTGCACTAGAGTTGGACGGCCTCCTCTGCACTTGGCAGTTGTATAGTCCCTATTTGGTTACGCTACTGTGATTAGGTTTCTGTTACATGCAACTGAATGCAATTCTATTTGATAAATCATCTTTTAAATCTCCGCTCGAACATTACCTCCGTGGAGAGGCTTTCCCTCACTACTCTGCTTATATCCTCCATCCCCAATAAAGTCCTTCTCCATCATGCCAAGCTTTTTGTTTCCTTTATAGCAGGAGTCCCCAGCCTCCCGTCAGCGGCCTGTTAGGAACCGGGCCGCCAAGCAGGAGGTGAGCGGCGGCGGGCGAATGAGCGAAGCTTCATCTGCCACGCCCCACTGCTCGTGGCCATCCCACCCCACCCCCTCCACTCCCCTACCGCCGTCCGTGGAAAAATTGTCTTCCACAAAACCGGTCCCTGATGCCAAAAGTGTTGGGGACCACTGCTTTATAGCACTCATCATACCCTGAAATGATCTCACCTACTTACTGTTTATTTGCTTCTGAGCTGTTTCCCTTGAAAGAATGTAAACTTCCCTTGTAAGAATGCCTTTTCACTACTGTCCTCCAGCACATATAAAGTGTCTGGTACATAATGGATGCTTTGTAATTATTTGTGGAACGATTCATAGAATTTTATAATTGCATGTAACATTTAATATCATGTATTTTTAGAACAGTAAAATGAAAAAAACGGTTCATTATAGACAATCACAATTTTTAGTTGAGAAACACATACACATAATTAAAAATGCATATAATACAGAATACAATACACACTTGCCTATGAACAGTTTCTACCTTACTCTTAAGTGGCCTATCAATTCTAAAACCACAAACGATTAACAAAATAGCTATGTAAACATTCAGTGTGTCACAAAAATGAACTGCATGAATTCAGCATTTCTTTGGCAAACTTGTCTTTTCATAGATACAATTTTGTGCTACCCCAATCAGTGTGGGAGACTTGTTAATAACAAAACTTCCTATAGCATTTAAACACAAACATTCAAATAAAAACAAAAATTCTGATCATTTTTCTCATGCATGTCAGAGGACATATATAACTAGGTTTTAACCTTGCAGAGAAAGCATTCTTTTTACCCACATACCCACTCTTTCTACTCTTCTAGTAATCTTGAGTTTGGTCCGAGACAAACACCCTGCAAATAAATGAGGTCTTCTCTGGCATCAACCTATGCAGGTATATTGGGGGAGGGGATACAGACTGAGGGTTCCCTGAGGATGAATTTGGGGTCTCTGCTCTCTGCTTGTGGGAGTGACTCAAGAAGCCCCAGTGCTACTACAGCGGGAGAAGTGAATTTTCTTTTTATGACTTTTACCTCATATAAAACTGCTCTCATCATATAAAACCTTTGGAAATCTGTATCTTTTGATTAAAAACAATAAGTTGTTATGTGACATTTAAATAAACTGTATGAATACTCTTCTCAATGAAGCACAGAACAATCAAATACAAGAAAGTACAGTGTTTCCTACTTAGATACCTATCCACTCTTTCTTGAGGCCCTAGATGGGTCTCCTTGGGGGCACCGTTGTGAAAGAAAAGCAGCAGAAAAGTGCCAGAGGCAGAATGGGGGGCCACTCATTAAGAAAAAAAGGAGCTCTGGGATTTGGTAAGACCATTTTCTCCCTTTCTCACAGAATCAGGAAAGCATTTAGGTAGTGTTTCCTGGGAGTCCCTTCCAAATACTTGGAGATGAAATGACTTCAGGTCAGTAGCATCTAAAGAGAAAATTTTTCAGAAGCCCCCAGAAGCTGTCCTCAACCCAACATGGCATATTTCCCTCTTATTCTTAACCAGTGAAATAATCTTTTATCTCATGAGAAGCAATGACCTTGGGTTTCTATTTGAATAACTTCTGCCTGGAATTCCATCAGAACCAGCATCAAATGTACTAGCCTCACTTCAGTAAAGACAACACTCTATAAGGCAGAGTGGTCAAGAGAGTTACCTGGGGAGCTTGTTTAAAATAATGTAGGTTCTGGAGCTGTACTCCCAGAGATCCCCATTCAGTAGGTCCTGGGTGGGATGCGGGATTCTGCATTTTCAATAAGGCTTTCCAGGTGATTTTGATGGAGGTGGTGTGGGGCCCCCAATTTGAGTAACACTGGCTCAGAGAGAAATCAGAATTGCTTCTTTCCCAGAATAAGACTTACCGTAGACAGCGACCCAAGGCGCCAGACTTCCCAAAGTGTCCTCCCTGACGAGGTCTCCAGTGAGGAGGTCATTTATGCTTGTCCTCAAAAACTCAGGGAGTGAGTCTTGTGCCCAACTCTATAAGTGAACCAAAAATTGGGCTCACAATTGTCTGGATTTGAGGATAAATAGGAAAATCCCAAGTACTAGAAAAGTTTGGCTTCTGGTTGGGGGCCTATGTACAATCTTTCCCCTTTCCCTTATTCCTTTTCACTGATATCGCGCTAATGAAGCCAAATAGACCCAAACAGATAATATGTTGTTTGGGTAGGGGTGAATATACACAGCTAGAGCAAATTCTGTCTGTGGAAATTCAGAGGAATGAATTCCAGTTTGATACACAGCATCAATAACTGACTGTACATCAGTGTATGGCATCTGGATAGGAAATCCTGCGACCTAGACAAATGACAGAATAACACGTAAAACCACATTACAGTCATGTAGGTGATGGAGAATTACTGTATGCAAAGAGATTACAGAAGCCTCAAAGAAATGGAAGTCATAAAATAATAATAATAGTTATCATTTTGTGGGTGCTTACTATGTTCCAGGCACAATGCTAAATACTTCACATACATATTTAATCCTCAAACAACCCTATGAGGTAGGCTTTGTTATAATCCCCACTTTACAGAGAGAGGAGCAGAACCAGGTCTGTCTAATGCCAGAGCCTGCACACTTAACATTCCACATATTTGCACCCTTTCTGGAATAGCAAACTGCCAACAAGGAAATCTTGATCCTATAAGTGACAGATTTAAGGGAGCATTTTGGAAGAATTTATTTAACATTGATTCAGTTTATATTTATTGATAACTATATGACAGGATTAAAGGATACGGAACATGGTCCCATGTAAAATTATCTACTTAAGAACATACAAAGGACAATCATTAGCTTCTTTCAAGATTTAGTTTGCTTACTTCAGGAGGCTCTTCCTGATCTTTAAAGCTGTTGATGTGCTCTTCTCTTGTGGTGCATAGGACACTGTCCTTTCCTAGCTTATTTAATAAAATATACTGCAATTACTCGTTTTCTGGTCTATTTCTCTAACTAGCCCACAGTCTCTGTGAATGCTCAAGATTGCATCTGTCTTGTTTACTGTCATAACCCCAAGTGTCTAGCACAATGGCTGCCACATAGGATACAAATAATAGTTAACATTTATTAAGTGCTGGGTGCTATGGTTACGCAGCTCACTTAATCCTCACCACAACCACAAAGCAGGTAACTCTTTTTATCCCTGTTTATCTTGAGCCGTGGGGTAGAAGGTACAGAGAAGTTAGGTAATCTGGTCAAAGTTAATGAGTGGTTGAGCCAGGATTTGAACCCAAGCTGCAGGATTCGGTCTAGGTTTATGAATGTGTGTTATTAAACAGCAGATAATTTTACAAAGGAACTCCAAGTTTTAAACCTTGGCTTATACTTAACTATGCTTTGCTTATCTCTTTACCCCCTAATTCTATTAAAAAGAAAGCAAAACAAAACAACTTCCTCCCTATTCATGAATGAATAGTGCCTGCAGATCCCTCCCTGGCAGCCTGAGTATAAACTCTCAACAGATTCCTCCTTCCTTTCTTCTCTTAGAGGGTTTCCCCGAGGAGACATCTTCTAGTCTACAGGATAGTAGGGGGAAGGACTATCACTCTTGGGAGGCTGGGGCTTCCAAAAACCCACTGGAACAATTCATAGGGAAAAGGAGGTGAGAGGATTCCAGAACTAAGGATATCATAGGGGAAGAAAAGAAGGACCCTAACAATACACCAGACGCCCACCATGTTTGATTATGGACTTAACTGAGTTTGAAATGCCTTTCTACCATCTGGGATGATGTCAAATGTGCTGGTGAATATATGAGAGGAGGTCAGAAGTCCAGGCCGGATGTATAAATTTGAGAATAATTTGCATGTAGAAGATATTAAAGCTTGCCTGTAGTCCTCTTGCCCAGAAGCAAGGACATGGAATCTATTCTGTTACTACCATCTAGAAATCATGTTTTAGTTTCTTAGTTGCAAGTGGTTTCCTTCTGGGTATCTCTTTCCAAAGTTTGTGGTTTATACATTAAAAAACTGATTCCAAGAAAATGTCATGCAATCTGGTCATGGTACTAGTTATTCACTACATTTGAAATTTCTCAGTCTATAAGTAAATGCATTTTAATGCCACAGCATGTATCACCTACTAAGATCAAGATAAAAGGCATTTCAGGGATACTTAAGATTAGTATCATCTGGCAATTAATAACATAGATAAAACAACTGACATTAATGCATTAAATCATATACAAACCCAATAAAATTGTAGCAGTCTTTCAAATTCACTCTCTTCTTCAGATGAAACAAAGTTTCCGGTGCCAAGCTCTAACTTAGGAAGGATTTGTCTTAAAATGAAAGTACATTGTCTATTCCAACGTGTTGGCTGTTTAGGTCGCCATTCCATTATTTTATATTTCAGAGTTCTTTCAATCCTAAGGTAAGAATGCAAAGATTATTTTATGATAAATTATAACTCATTTAAATAAATGTGAAAAAAGTTTTGTCACTTTTTCTCAAGTATGAGAATGATACTTTTTTGATTTAGGAGAAAACCAGACCTCTATGGCTAAGGATATCTGCCATCATTCACATTAATCAAGTCCAGGAGAGAGCAGGCTCTTGCTTGGCTTGAGAAAGCAAGACACTTCCTGGGGTAGCCAGCAATTAGCTCTCAAAGGCACATCTTTTTTCCAGTTACCTGTGTGTAGGCAGCTGCCTACTGGGCGTGATTTGCCTACCATCTGATTACCGGGTTGGCATTCCTATTCGCCAAGACCCTCCTTTGACATAAGACATTGTGTTTCCAAGAAATGCCTTTATAAAAATTCAGATATCTTGTCTGGGATAATGTTAGCAGGAATGGGGTAACTGGATCAGTTAATTCAGCAGGCAGAATTGGGAGGAAATGAAGCACTGGACTGATCAGTATGATGAGCAGTTTCCCTACCAGAATGTATGCTCCACAAGGGCAGGGAGCTTTGCCTACCTATGCCGCCTCTAAAACAGTGCCTGCTGAGGAACTGTTTCGGGGAGGGGAGAAAGTGGAGCACAGTGTGAGTTGGTTGATGGAAGCTTCTCCTCTGGGCAGAATCATTGTGTGCTACGGAAGAAGCTGCTGGGCCTCTCCTCTTGGCTGAGTCCATAAAGTAACTAAGTGGTTTCGAGTTTGCAGAGAGTCTCAGTCACGGCTATACGCCAGAATCACCTGTAGGACTTTATCAAAATATTTCACTATCTTCCAGATAGTGATTCAACAGGTCTGGTCTTGGACTCTGGCACCTATATTTTAAAATAGTTCTAGAAGCAATTTCTGATGAAAACCAGAAGTTGGGGACCATCTTCCTAGTGCTTTTATTCCTTTTTTGTTAAGAGTTGGGGAAGAAGGAGGGGAATAAGAGGTGAGAGTTGTGTGCTAGTGAGAAAAGGGAGTGGCAAAATGATTTTTCTCATATTCTGTTTCAATTAGTTGGTAGTGGCTTACATGCCAGCCTGCTGTGTCAGCATGAGTCACTGGAGGTAGTCAGATCTAGAAGCTTGTGACACATCTGGAGTAGGAGTGAGGTCTGCTGCAAGGCTGTGACCCTTTGGGCTTGACTCAACAACTCCTCCGGACGTGTGTGTGTGTGTGTGTGTGTGTGTGTGGTGGGGGGAGGGGGAGGGGTGCCTATGAGGGACAGTACTGATGTTGCTGTCACCCAGCTTGGCTGTTTTTACCACACACCAAGTTGTGGGCCATTTACCTTCCTGTCCTTTCAAGAAGTGTTAGCTACTGCATTATTATTACTATACGGCTCAACAGGTGTCTGTGTTGAGAACTTCCTAACGGCAGCCCACAATGTTTTCCAGATGCAACCATATTTAACTTGGCATGTTTTTTCAAGAAGTGCTGTGGATAGCAGAGGGGCTGATTTTTGATGCATGCACCAAGAGACAGATGACTCAGTGGAAGTAACTATTATAATCTCCATTTCATGCTTCTGTTGCTGAATCTAATGGGTATTTTGAGAGACTGGGTTAGAGGACTGAAGGGTGGCTGAATGAGAGATTAGAGAGAAAACATGATACTCTAATATATAAATAGAGATCATACCTGTTCTTTAGATCTTCTACCATGCTTTTATTAGTATCAGAATAAATTATTTCTTCAGGCTGAAATACAGAAAACTGGAAGTTAGAAAAGATTCTAGGGAGACCATCTTTACGTCAGTCGCCCCTTGGAGTGCTGATTATAATGAGGGTGAACCTAAACCAGTCTCACATGGCAAAAACACTCAATGGTAGAGGCACAAAGGTAACACAGATCACAGTGTTCCCTTTGATTTTAAGACTACCTCACCAGGGCATGGAAGGGAGGATGGATTTACAAAAGATATTTTTCACGACAGAAAAAGACAGATCTGCTATCCCCATCTGTTTATTCAAACAAGCATTTGACATGCTTATTGATTCTACCAGATAATCTTGGAAGCTGCACTGGTATCTCCCACTTATTAACTGTGACCTTGGTGAAGTCACTTAACCTCTGTGAGTCTCAGTTACCACGTCTTTTAAAGCGGGACAGTAACAGTGCCTACTTCCCCGGGATCGTGCAAAGATTTTAAAATAAAGTAATACATGTAAAGCCTGGCACATATTGTTCAACAAAGATCAGATACTATTGTTATTATTACTCTTGTAACATGGTGTATCATCTTCCTTCTTTGATTATTTGTTCCTTTCAGCAGGCGGGAGTCAGGTCTCTGTGTTTGCGTGTGCGCATGTGCACACACTCGCACATACACGCAGAGTCCATTTCAATCTCCCCGTCTCCAAGCCTTTGCCCCAGGCACCCCAGCAGCAGCAGAGAGCAATGCTCTACCATGTCTCCCCATGCTGCCCCCTGAGCAGGATTTTCTGGGAGGAGGAGAGGACTTCTCCAACCCCCTCTCCCCTACCTAACCCGTTCCTCCCCTCCCTGCAGGGCTCATATAGACAAGAGTGAGGGGTTGGGTTTAGGCGGTTTTTACTTAGGATATTTCTGAGCTGAGAAGTAGAGAAGCTATAGAGACACGGACAGATGTTTCCCCCTCATGAGTGGAATGAGGGTTGTACGAAAAGAAGGAAACATTTGCTAGGCCTCTAGGTCTTAGAAAATTTCAGGAGTGATTTGAGGGGGCTCAGTCTGTCAGGTGATGATCTATGCCAGTGGCTCCCAAAATGTGGCCCCCAGACCAGCAACCTCAGACCCAGTGATTCAGAAACTCTGAGGGTAAGGCCCAGCAATCCATTTTTCCACAAGCCCTCCAGAAGGTTCTGATGCCTGCCGTGGTTGGAGAACCACTAGATTAGAGCATAGGCTCAAGCACAGTGACTTTCCCCACAGTGAACACGGCTGGAGATGAGAGATACTGGAGAAAGGGAAGCATAAACTGCGGCATCGTCTTACAGGGGCCACCAACTATCACATTCAGGACAGGTAAACTGAATTCCCTGATTGCTGTCACCAACCACTGTCTGCCCCTCCAAAATAATCCCCTGCACCCCTATCCTGGCAACTCTTACGGATTAGTTAGGCTACTTTCAGGCCTGAAAAAGAGGCCTGGGTTCTGTTGACTTTGATAAGTTTATGGAGTGTTAGTCTATTTTCTTTTCAGGCAAAGGCCCCTTTCAGGGAATTCATATCCTTTAAAACTTCGAGAGGATTTCCCTGTTAACTCCATCTCTGAATACCCATATTCTCATCATACACACTCAAATTTGTGTTCTCAATTGCGATTAAGAAAAAAAGCGACAACAGTGTTCACCACAGACAGTGGTTTATTCCGGTATGTGTGCGACAAGGCAGAAGATCAAGGGCCATTAACCCACAGGAAAGAAATCAGTAGGGATACAAGTCAAATGCAACTATGAGTTTTATATTTATATATTCAACTTGACAAAGGGTTTAGTGGCTTTTAAAAATACAATTTTGATTATGGCAGCCCTTGCCTTGGTGATGTTGGCTTCTGACTGTCCTCTGCTCACTCCTTGGCAGCAGCCAGGCTGGCCTTTCAGCTCCTTGACAGACATCTGCTTGCCACTGCAGGTCTTCATGCCTGCTGTCCCCGCTTTGTGCTGGGACCATTCTCCTCCTTAACTTCCATCTAGACCAGCTCCTGCTCACCCTTGCTCACTCTGTTAGTCATCACTTTTTTCCCCAGGAAGCCCCTGCAACTCCCCTTCACCTCAGGCCTCCTGCTGAGTGCTCCCAAAAGCACATTCATTTCTTCTGTAATAGCATTTATCGCTCTGTACAGCAAGTGCTCGTTTCCTTCTGTTTCCTCCTCTAGAACACAAGCTCCAAGAGCACTGAGACATGTCTTTTTCCTTGTGGTACCTATACCTAAAACAGTGCTGGCCCGCTGCAGCACTCAATAAGCATTACCTGAATTAATAAGAGAATGATTAATAGAAACAAAACACCTCAACTCTAAATATATCATTCTCCCCCCTAGGAGGCAGCAATACTTTGGTCACAACTTTGGGATGGGAAAAGCAAGCAAGGTCTGTGGATGCCATAAATGTGGTTTGCTCAAGAGAGATAAGCACATTTCCCCTTCCTTTATAATGACTTTACAAACATCTGCAAGGAGAATGTTCAGAAGGATGCACAAGAAGCTACCAACAGTGGCTATTTCTTAGAAAGTGGGAAAAAGATGTTGAAGAGGAGAGAAACTCTTCACTTTTTACACTTTGATACTGTTTGATTTTTCTCCCCACAACCACCATTCCTTCTTTTTGATATTATGAACTATGTCAAACATTCTCAGATAAAGCACTGAGAATAATGTAATGAACATCCATCCACCCAACATACATACCACCAAGCTATATCTAATCTTTGCATTCTTCCATACTTGTTTTAGGTATTTTTTAAAGATGTAAAACATTACAGACAGATTTGAAGTACTCTGTATACTGCTCCCTGATATCATTCTTTTTTTTCCTCTTTCCAAAGGTAAACTTTACCCTAAATTTGGTGTTTATCATTCCCATGCAAGCTTTTACACTATCACTATATCTCTATATACGTAAACAACATATATTTTTCAAACTTCATATAAGTGTGTCATTTCACATCTTCTTTACTTTGCTTAACATTACATTTTTTATATTCATTCATGTTGATAACAGTGGCTCTAGGTCAGTAGTTCTCAACCTTGGCTGCATGTGGGATCACATGGGGAGCTTTAAGTAATACCAATGTGTGGGCTCTTCCCTCAGAGATTCTGATACAATGCACGTACAGCCAAGTTGAGAACTACAGTAAATTAGTTTCATATATTCTTTTTTTTTTTTTTACTGCTGTATAGAATATTTTATAGTAGGAGTATTCATAACTCATGTGCCCATTTTCTGGTTGATGAATTGTTTCCTTTTATTTATTTATTTATTTATTGCTATTTCAAGCAATTCAGTAATGACCATCATGTACTTGTCTCCCTGTGCGTGTATCTCTAGGGTATATACTTAGAAGATGAACTGGTGGATCAGAGGCTGAGTTTCTTCAGCTTTACCAACCTTACCATATTGCTTTCTAAAGTGTTTATAGCAATTCGCACTCCCACCATTTCTCTGCCTCTTTGCCAACACTAGATGTGATCTCACACTTTTTAAAAAGTTTGGCCAATCTTCTACATGTGAAACAGTGTTTTGCTGTTTTAAATTGCATTTCCCTCATTATGAGTGACGTTGAGCCCTAGAGTTTCTGCTTCTGTGAATTGCCTTCTTCCTATTTTTCCATTGTCCTTTTTCTCATCCCCCCCTCTCTTTCTTCCTCTGGGTCACAGCTCCTAGTTTTTGAATTTTGCAATTGCCTGCACACTGCCATACCATGGCTCTCAATCCAGAAACAGCTGTCGAAATGGAATTTGGGTGCCTTCCCAAAGCAGTAGTGAGTACATCATAGATCCCCTGGACAAGCCATCTGGTGATTAGGTTGGTTCCTGATTCTCAGCTCTGTACTTTGGTCTCTTACCTCCTGAGCCCCAGGCAGTGAGTCTGCTGCTTTTCTTTCCCATCTTCTCTCAAGAGTAGCAAAGTAGGGGAGCTGCAACACAGTCCCTGGCTTCAAAAAGTGAGACTGGCTCTGGTTCTCTGGATTTCATGAAGCATTTTCAGACCTTGGTGCTGTCCTCTTTGGGCCCCACTCACTGCTAGTGTTTCTGTCCCGCTTCTATTCCATGAGATAACTATCATGGTTTGGAGCCCAGATAAGCCTTCTGTTTTTCAATTTTTATACTTTATCATTGTTATGGATATGTAGTAGAAGGGCTAGGTCAAAGTAAGAACTTATTACACCATCTTGACATTCTTTTTTATGTTTCATGATGAACATTTTAAAAATTTTATTTTAAAACCTAAATTCACAATTAAGATGATACCTTCTCAATTCCTCTTTTCTGCAAGTAGAGAAAAAGGATCACAATAGCCCAAACTCAGGCTGGATGGCAGAGAAAACTAGGTTTTATTAATACTGCCAAATAATTCAATAAGCAATCAGCTGTATAAACATAATAAGAGCTGTCACAATTCCTAAGATTAGAACCAATGGTAACTTTCATAGAGACACACCTGGAAAAGTATAATTTACCTGTATGCTTTGTGCTTTTGTCCCTTGATAATTTTTTGGAAGCAACTGTTTCCAGAAACTTTCCTTTGAATAGTCAAAATATACAGCCCTTGGTGAATTATTTTGCTGAATGTTAAACCAGACCTATTAATACATCAACATAAAATCAGTAGAGGCCCACAGGAGTACGAAGCCCATAGTAGGTTAGGACAGAGGAAAATTTTACAGTCCTACTCCCCAGTGAAGTGGCAGAAGCCAAGGATGGTTCTGAGGCAGGAGGTACAGAGATTCCAGGGGTGTGTGCACACTAGACTGCTCGCTGGTTCTCAACCTCGGAGGCACCACAGAATCACATCAAGAAGCCTTGGGGATAAAAGATTCCCCTGGCCCTACACCCCAGGGATTCTAACTGAACATCTATAGCTTCTTCAGAGTTCCCACATGATTCTAATATATGGTCAGTGTAGAGAACCACAGGTTTAACTCTTGAGGAGATAACTCAAGGTCCCCCCCCCCCCCGCCCCCCGCCATATACTTACATTTTCACCATCAAACAAACAATCTACACTTTGTAAGGGACAAAATGGGTCAAACTGCTTATGACATTGCCCAGTTAATGGATTCCAAAGCAAATATTCATCAGTTTCTGGCGTTAATACATAAGCCACATGCCCCTGTATGAAGAAAGAGTTAAAGTCATTTTTGGTGGATGATTGATTTAACTCACTTTTGTATGTGGAAATTATAGTGTAAGCATAGGATATCTCTGATTTTTTAATAGATAATGTTGCCAGTTACCTTAGTTATTCTTTATTCCTGTATTATTTATTTATTTGCCTTGCCGCACAGCTTGCGGGATCTCAGTTCCCTGACCAGGGATTGAACCTGGGCCACGGCAGTGAGAGCCCAATATCCTAGCCACTAGACCACAAGGGAACTCCCTGGTATCTCTGATTTTTAAAAGCCTTTTTTAGGACCTTTACAATTTTTTTGGAAAGGATAAAACCAAAGCAACTGAAATCCTCAGGCCCAAGCTAGCATGAGGATTCAAATGAGAACTTTTGAGCTAGTGCTGCCATGTATGGTCCTGAAGGGTATACCCTCATAGCAATAAAATATGTTGTTCTAACAAAATCAGTATATTATGACCAATTCCCAATAGTTTTGAGGTAGGGGCGCTTTTGTGTAATTCACACAAAGGTGCTATATGGATTAGCCCTGCTTTATGTAGAATATACTTGGAGACCAAGGGTGAACACCGTGCAGAGTTAGGGAATGGAATTTTGCCTAAGGCTCTGAAAAGCCAAGTGAAGTTGAAAAGCCATAAAATTAATTTTGTGAGCAAGATAGAGTTAGAGGCCAGAGAGAAATTACACAGGAAAGCACCTTAGGAATAAAAGTAGTCATTATGTTGTTATTTTGCTCTGCACATACTTTTGAAGTATAAACCTTTCTTATTTAGCAAAGAATAAAAATTTCAGGTAACAATAATAATGACTATTTAACATTTATTGAGTACCCCAGGTACTGTACTCAGCACTCACACTAATTTTCTCACATGAATTCCAAATTCTGTGAGGTAGGGATGATTGTCATGCCCATCTTTCACATGAAGAATAAGAGGTTAAGAGCTTGTCTAGGGTAACAGTAAATGGAATTACTCCTTTTCGGGGAGGAGATAAGTGAGGTTCAGAGAAATAAGTCTCAGATCGTACAGTTAGTAAACGTCATTTCTAAGTTTTAAATTCCTCTTTGACCTCCAAATCTATACTCTTTTTTTTTTTTTTTTTTTTTGCGGTACGCGGGTCTCTAACTGTTGTGGCCTCTTCCGTTGAGGAGCAATACGCTCCGGGCGCGCAGGCTCAGCGGCCATGGCTCACGGGCGCAGCCGCTCCGCTGCACGTGGGACCTTCCCGGACCAGGGCACGAACCCGTGTGCCCTACATCGGCAGGCGGACTCTCAACCACTGCGCCACCAGGAAAGCCGCAAATCTACGCTCTTAACACTGTGCTGTGTAGCCTGGTTTTCCTAACTCCAAAGCTCTTGCTCTTTATCATTGTGCTCATCTTTACAGTAAAGAGGCTTCACCTCAACCAGCAGCAGAGGTGAAAGGCACAGATTAGTGCTGCCACCCAGTGTTGACTCAGAGGTAAAACTGTAAAAATGTTTGTTGAAATATTGTTGACTGTTTCCTGCCATCTAGTGGCACTCAAAACTACAGCAGGGGGATCATATGGGGGAAATTAAGGGAATATAGAGAAATAAATGATCATGACAAAAACCATAAAACAAGACTGGAAGTTTTTTGACATTTATCAAGATATTCATAGTAGAAATAGAAACAGTCCAAAACAAGACAGCTTTCTGGAAGTTTGAATGTAGGTGTATATAAGTTGTAAAAATTTCAGGTAGGTTAACATAAATTTCTGGCCCACTTCTTACACAATTAAAAATTGAGCAGTGTTGGGAATTTCAATGTAACTATTACTACATCACCTACCACCACCATTTTTTTTTTTTTTTTTTTT